CCTGCTGACCAGACTCTGAGGAAAAGTCCTTCTGACTTTGCTGATGTGTTTGGAGGTGTTGATGATTCTCCAGAGGTAGGAATAATTCTATGAATGAAAACGCTTTAATGGTTTCTTTTAAGTGCTCCATTTTTCATTTCAACTTTTTTGCGGAAAGATGATGGCATGGGAACTTTACGCAGCACTTTTTTATTTATATTGGGGACCACATGTTATAGAAACAGTGTGTGGCATTACGTTTGTGACAACTTATAATTGACAACAAACTGCTTGCTGACCAGACTCCTACTAACTTTGTTGAAGAATGTAGTCAGTGGTCTTATAGAGTATGCTCCTATATTTTTAGAGTTTGTGATTAGTTGTTTACCTCAATGTTTTCTATATTTTTATAATGTGATTATCACGCTGGATTTTATACATCGCTTTGGACATCTAGATCGTCATTCGAACGTTTGTTATGATGACAACGACATTTCTCTCTATATATTTGTTGTGCTTGGTTGCTCCAGTGATATGATTAACATGCTTCCAAAATAATGAGAAAAAAGCTATGATATTTTAATTCGAAGTTGTTGATACAAATATTGGGAGTCTACATGAGCTTTCCATTTTTTTGCACTGCTGAATTAGTGGACTTTGCAAAAATATAGTTTCTTTGGCCCCATCTGCAGAACATGGTCATAGTTTTAACAGAATGATTCTCATTTCATTGGTTAAAATATGTTTTGCAAGGCATTGCATTCTGCATGAAACATCCAAAATCCTTATAACAGTGCACCATCTTAATGTCAAACTTTAAAAATATAACTGCACAGTTGAACTAAGTATTGCCGGTATAGAAATAAGAGATAAACAGCAAAATAAACCATTGTTTTTATTTTGCTGTTGCAGAAAATGTCCTTAAGTGACAACAGTATATGTAAAATGCTCATGGGCAAGTATTACATTGATGACTAGTTTAAATCTAAAACGCTTGGTCATAGAAATCCATATTAAGTGACTGCAGTTGCAAAAGTTTACATCAGTGAGTGATGACTGAAATGATGGTTGCGGATCTTGTATAAAGTCTTTTGAATTGGTTAATCTAAGAATGACTGAAACTATTTCTTTGCTGATAAATATTGATACACTACAATTGCACAAATACATCTCTTTTGCTTCTTTCAGTGATATGATTTTACTTGGCTGGCAGTGTCTGTTTAATAATGGATGCATATGTTTATACTGCCTTTGGGGGAAGGGTATACAAAACGAGCATATTTTTGGTTGACAATACAGTGGGTCAGTGATGTTCACAGATAATTCCAACGCTTTTATTATAGAATATATTGCTGCAGACCATCCTTTGTGGATTGCATCTATAACGACAGTGTATTTGTCTGTCTGTGTGTCTTGCCTTCAGTATATAAACATGTAGATTGAGGAGGCCCTTGTCTGAGTTATTTGATAATTTCACCAGCTTGGATGTTGTCACCTAAAATACACGTCTCGTCAGTTGTGGTTCTTCCTCAGTATTAAAACCTCTGTAAATAGTTTGAATATGTGATTGGACTTGAGGTTTTTTGTCCTTCTGGGAAAGAACATTTAACTTTTACGTATTGTTTTTAGATACAGGCCAATATTGAGAGTGATAATGTATGGTGGGTTTTGCTGTTTTAGTTTGATAAGTCAGTTTATTGAACATGTTCAAATAAACTATTTGTAGCCTATTTCCAAATTTAAGTTACTACACAAGTGATTGACTTGTTGTATTTGATTTTGTTTTTTGTCATGGACTTTACAATCATATGAATTTGAGAAAGTCTTATTTGCCAAATCAACTCATCCCGAATTCCAGCATATATTGAATATGAAAACACTTTAATGCGATGTTTCCACTGCATATTTGCTTTATTATTATTGCTATTTAACCTGTTTACTCACTTGTCATCCCTCTCAGTGATGCAGAGAGGAGTCATGTTGGTCTCTATGAAAAATGCGTATCAGGTGGTTGATACACACTGAATGCTGTGCATTGTGTCTTGGTATTTAACCTCACTTTGTTAGGTTTTGGTTTACAGTACATTTTTTCCATTGCATATACTCTGAGAATCTGTGCACATTATATAATCTTCCAGATAAGTTGTAATGGACCTTTTCATGTTTACCAATGAGTACAGAAGTGCAGTGTCTCTTAAGTTATACATTCATTAATGTTATTTGTATAAAGTACAGCCCATGAAAGGTGCAATGCAGAAAAGTATTTGGTGCTCAAATAACACTGGGACCTCTACTGATGGGTTGTTCACACAGCAGAAAACAAAATGACAACAGTTGCTTGGACATTGTAACTATTCACAATCTATAGGACAGTGTCATTATCTTAACTGAATATTGATTGAACAACACTCTTTTAAACCTTGATACACAAAGTGACATTTTCTACTTGTCTAGATTGAAGTGCTATAACTAAATTAAACTCTGGGTGTCACTGTGCACCGACCATGGAATGACGAGTCATTTGCTTCATCCATTCTCTTCCACCATTGCAACGTCTTGTGGTTCAGTGTGTGTGCGAGAAGAACGATACAAAGGGTTTACATTGTCTTGTTATTCGGACATTAATTTGCGAGGAACATATCCGTCTTTGATCACTTTGAAAGAGTTGCCCAGGGAAGGATGAGCGCCTGGTCGATGAAGGGAAAACCCGCGTCCAGAGGGTTTTCTATGGATCGTTTTGTTGCTGTTCTCCTTTTCATCATGCTGCATTTCGCGTATGGAGACGTGAGCTACTCCGTCGCAGAGGAGATGAAACGCATGTCTGTGATTGGAAATATAGCAAAGGATCTTGGCCTCGGGACTGCCGCACTTTCCTCGCGTAAAGCTCGCATTGACACCGACAGGAGTGGCAAGCAGTATTGTGATATTAATCTGAGCAGCGGAGATTTGATTGTGACTGACAGGATCGACAGAGAGGGTCTTTGTGGTAAGAAGGCGACCTGTATTTTAAAAGAGGAACTTGTACTGGAAAACCCTTTAGAGCTTCATCGTATCAGTATTCATGTGCAAGACATAAACGACAACACCCCACAGTTTAGTGAAGAGTTGATTTCATTTGAAATGAGAGAATCAGCTGACAAAGGAGCGAAATTCTTACTCACTGAAGCCCATGATGCAGATATCGGTACAAATACAGTGCAACACTACAATTTACAAAATAATGAACATTTCACTATTAATGTGGAAACAGACGGTAGCGGTCGTAAACACTCCGAGCTGGTTTTAGTTAAAGAATTAGATCGAGAACAAGAGAACGATCTAAAATTGGTGCTTACGGCTGTAGATGGTGGTTCTCCGAGGAGATCGGGCACTGCGATCGTTCACATCACTGTGCTGGATGCTAATGATAACGCACCAGTGTTTCATCAGGCCGTTTATAAAGCCAGTCTGCCTGAAAACGCACCGCTCGATACAATAGTTATTGCAGTGAGCGCAACTGATGCGGACGCGGGGCAGAATGGTGACATCACATACAGTTTTGATCATGTGTCTGATGACCATGCCACTTTATTCTCACTTGACCAGAAGACTGGAGAGATACGAGTCATCGGGTCTATTGATTATGAGACTGAGACGTCTATTGAACTACGGATAAGAGCAAAAGACGGACCAGGTCTTACGTCATATTGTACAATAATTATAGACGTAACAGATGTCAATGATAACCCACCTGCTATCAGTTTAAAGGCACTGAGTAATCCCATACCTGAGAACGTGTCACCTGGTTCAGAGGTGGGCATCATTAACGTGCAGGACAGAGACTCTGAGAATAACAGACAGGTTCGCTGCTCCATTCAACAAAATGTCCCTTTTAAGTTAGTTCCTTCTATTAAAAACTATTATTCTCTGGTGACCACAGGACAACTGGACCGTGAACTAGTGTCAGATTACAACATTACAAT